TTTTATTGACCCCATAAATAAATCTCATAAAGCTAAATTGACTCAGAATTTATAACAATTGTGTCTGTGTTTGACAAGTTTCTATCTTTTAGTCATGTTGGTTATGTATGATAAGTAGCTCTTCTGATCCTGCTAAGGAACCTCCATGTGCCCCTGCAATCCAAATGGATCACTGTATCTTGGTATGCATCTTGCTTGCATCAGTGCTAGCTGAAAACTTTTGCTTTGAATTTCAGTCAGCCGTAAGAAAAACCAGTGAGTAGTTCACATGTCACATCAAGTAGTGATGCGAATAAAGTAAATTCACTTTCAACAAATGTCCCTGTAAGGTCCCCCAGATACTGCTGTAGACTTCTAAAATATGTGTATCATTTTGAACCTTAGGCCTTTTTCTTTTTCTTTTTTTTTTTTTCTTTCTTTCTCCTGAATGTTTTAAACTGTTGTAGAGTTTCTCGAGTCCCTGAACCTTTGCAGTGCTCAGGTGCTTCCCTCTGCAACTCTACAGCCCTTCTTCTGTAATATTGCTGTCTTCTTTCACTTGTAGCTGTGCGAGATGTCACATGGGCAAGCTGAAACTACTGTGGCAGTTCTTTTCTAGCTCTGCTCTTTGCTCATGTCCATCATCTTGGACCTGCGGATTTTGAGGTGTTGTTACTGATTGTCACTGGGATGAGAATCTTTCTGTTTTTCCCTGAAAGTAACTTCAACCACTGGAGTCTATGCACACCATCAACTATGGACCTTGCAAATAAATTTTTATGCACTTAAGTTTCTCTCAACATTTTTTTAAGAAAAACAAACTAAATCAAAGTAGATATTGTTCTTTCACAAGTCATAATTAACTGGTAGAGTTTTTGGATAAACTATTGTTTAGATCAAGTTTTGAAGGTCTATATAGAAGACATAGATAATAATGCTGTCAATTAGGTACCCACTTTTGAAACAAGATTAACATAAAATCATAGTTGTCAATGTAGGTTTAGGCAGGGGTTTCCTCTGTGATTTTTTTTCTTTCTTTTCCTATTACTACTCATTTTGAAGTTTCTCTGAATGCTCTGTTCTTGGCTAGTACAAGAGACATAACACCAAAACATTCATTTTGTATGGAGTGTTGCTATAGAAAACAATGATGAAACTGAATTGCAAAGTTCAGAATGGGATTCAAACTTACAGAGCATGTGTGTTTATGTGGACATAAGGACTTCACTAAACAGCAATTGCAGGGGTGAATGTTCTAATAAGCAGATGAAATTGGCATTGTCTCTTGGGTCCAGAGAGCCTTGAATTACACTTTGAAGGAGGGTTAACATTGCCAGATTGTACTGGGTTTACATGGCAAGATTTTGGTAGTGGGGGGCTGCAAGGGTGGCCTCTGTGAGAAGAATCCAGAAGCTGACCCATGTTAGAAAAGGGCCAGTTTCAGCCTCCTCCAAAAGGACCCACTGCTGCCCAGAGCCGAGCCAAAACATGATGTTGTTTGTGCCTCTGTGAGCGCAGATTTAAGAAAGGGGGAAAAAAAATGCTGGGAAATGGCAGCTGGGAGAGCGAGGAGTGAGAAACAACACTGCAGACACAAAGGTGAATGCAGCAGGAGGGCAGGAGGTGCTGCAGGCAGGCAGCAGCAGTTCGCCTGCAGCCTGTGGAGAGGCCCCTGGTGGAGCAGGCTGTCCCCCTGCAGCCCATGGGTCCCACATGGAGCAGATCTCCACGCTGCAGCCCCCCCGTGGGTGGAGGAGCCCCCGGTGGAGCAGGTGTATGTGGCCTGGAGGAGGCTGTGGCCCATGGAGAGCCCCCGCAGGAGCAGGCCCCGGGCCGGAGCTGCAGCCCGTGGAGAGGAGCCCACGCAGGAGCAGGGGTCTGGGGGGAGCTGCCGCCCACCCGTGGGGGACCCGTGCTGGAGCAGTTTGCTCCTGGGGGATGGACCCCGTGGTACGGAGCTGTGTGGGAGCAATGCTTGAAGAGCTGCTGCCTGTGGGTAGCCCCCCAGGCTCATTTCGGGAAGGACAGCATCCCGTGGGAGGGACCCCACAGGGAGTAGGGGCAGGGAGTGACCATGACGGAGCGGCGGACACGAAGAGTCAGGAACTGACCACAGTCCTCATTACCTGTTCCCCTGTGCTGCTTGGGGGGAGGAGGTGGACGATGGTGGATGGGGAGAAGGTGTCTTTAGTTCTTTTTGTTGTTGTTGTTTCTCACTGCTCTAGCTTGTTAGTAATAGGTAATAAATTTCTCTTATCTCCCTACACAAGTCTGTTTTGCCCATGATGATAATTTCTGAGTGATCTCCCTGTCCTTATCTTAGCCCTTGAGCCCTTTCCATCGTATATTCTCCTACTTTTCCTTTGAGAAGGGGGAGCGAGAGAGCAGTTATGGTGGAGCTTAGCTGTCCAGCTGTGTAACACCACCACACATGTCAAGAGAGACCCACTTCACAACAGCGATTAAAAGCATACCGTTGTAAGTAATGTAAGACTGTTCTTAAAATCTTTGTTCTAATGTACAGGAGGGTTTTCAATCTAGATATCACACTACCAGTAGAAATGTTGATAACATGAGGAGAATTATAAAGCTATAGTTAGATATTAAAGCAGTGGGGAAGGAGAGATACAGCCCATTGCTTCTCACCTGTTTTTTTTTTTCTGGACTGGGTCCTACAATGCTGAAACTTCTAGTTATAGATTCCTGCTGCAAGGTAGCTCAGCTTATGACATGGGCGCCGATCTCCTTTTTCAAGTGATTAAGTCTTCCATGTGAATGTGGTCCTGAAATCTTCCGGAGAAGTACAGAGTGCTTTCAATTACCCGTAACTTCAGCAGGGTTTGGTGATACCGAATGCCTCACAGGAGCTGTTTCTACTACTGCATCAGTTCCCAGAGTTACAGAGCACAGGAAGCTGTGACAGAGTGCTGTGAAGTTCCTACAGCTCGGTCAATTATATACTAACATTTGAGTGTGCAAGAGATGAGGCCCGCTTGTTTTTACTAAATAACAAGAAAGAAATGGATGAAAAGCACTGCCTCTACAAAGTGACCCATTTATGTTACAAGGGAGAATTGCTTAGCTTTGGGGTAATGTATATTTATGTACAGTTTTGCATATCAACAAAAATAAAATAGTTGTTAGAGTGATGTTCTGTAAAGCCTGTGGGAATGCAGGAGAGGAGGTATTAACAAACAACAATCTATCTATTACTTGTTGAAATATAAAAGCTAATAGATGAGCAAAATGCAAACCAAGATTGAATCATTTTAACTTCTCTTTAAGTTAGAATTTTACAAATTACTAGAGTGAAGATAGCATAGCCAATTATTTCTGAAGAAGCTAGATCTTTAGTGGTTATAATAGTAATAAAAGGTAATTTGGCACCATCACATTATGAAGCTTTAACAGTAATGTGGGCTTTCCAGTAATAAAGCACAGATGATAATAAGCATTGGTGTTACAGCTGCTGTCTTCCATTTCTATCCAATTCATCTGCCTCAGTGCCTGAAGCTGTTCAGCAAGACCAAGAGAAACAACATTAGCCTCTTTATTATTTATAACTTTTTTTTCACCCCCGATAACACTGCAATACCATAAACACTGTTTCCATGGAAACTCAAACAAGAGGCAATTACCATGGATTGTTGTGGTTTATACCTCTAGGAATACAGGTATCTAAAATTTCAGCCTGTCCCTGCATAACAAGAAAACACAAAAGTGACTGTTATTTTAAATTTCTGGATAACACTGCATAAGTTGTGGAATTTCTTGAATTGTGTAGTGTGCCACAATCATTCTATGCAATCACGTCATGCTTTTCGCTAAATTTATTTACTCTGAAATCTGTTCTTTTAAAAATACAATTAAAAGGAGTTCCTTGTTTCTATAGACTTTGGTGATGCTAATTTTTGCTTTACATTTATGTGTTAAAGAGTAATAGACTTTAAGGGCTGAAAACCCAAAAATGTCTGAAGACTTTGTAATGCAGATGGATAAACCTGAGGCTATGTGAGAAATACAAAAAATTAAGTGATGTGAGCTGTGAAGGTCATCCACAGGTTACCTAAGGCATAAATGAAAAGGAAAATATTTCCTTTGAGTTAATAGCTGGATGTGAGGGTGAAGAACTTCGTAGTAAAGTCAATAACCCTTTACCTGCTGTTTAATTACTTGATGAAACCATAGGTTCTATAATTTTATATTAGAATATACAAATATAAAAAAGGGCCAAAAGAACAGTTTTAGCAATACCATAATATAGTAGGTAAGTAAGTACTTATGTTTTTATTTCACACAGAATATCACACAACTCCAACATTACCCTTCTCCAGTCATGCAAAAATAATTTCTGTAGATCTGGATGATCCAATCAAATCACTCATATGATAGAAAGGGGTGCTTTTTACTTTTATCTATTAAAAATGACCTTGGTGCAGGTTAATAGGTAAAACAAACAAGCTGTTGTTCAAAAAGCAGAACACAAAGAACAGGAATGTGTCAATGCCTGTTGCACTCAACCTTTAACTATTTATGCAATGTAGAAGATTATTAGAAAGGCAGGCTCAGAGCAAGTCCCCTCTCCTGTCAGTATCAAGTCTGGTGTTCTGAGCCCTGCTCAGTGAAATGAAGTCAAAATTACTCCTGGAGAGGGGAACCAAAGGAAAGATCCTTGGTGAAGAGGTGAATCAAAACTGGTGCATTTTGGAGAAAGGTCTGGGACAAACATAAGAAAGATTGAGACAGCAGTAGCTTTGTGAATTTAGTCCTTTCTTTCCTTAATTTATTAACAAGTGATTAAAACCAAAGCATTTTATTTTGGAGTTTAATAGAACGTCATTAGATGTGAGAGAATTTTTTACACTGTCTGCTTTGGCAAGAATCTGAATTAGTTTGTTTTCACCTGAACTAAACCTGTCTTGTAATCATTTGCTTCACCTGCAGACCAATTATTGACAAATCCTAACTGCAGAGTAATATAATAAATACCTTAGCTTCTCAGCCAGAATGGCCACTGCTTCCTGCTCAAGGAAACTGGAATAGCTCTTCCTTCCTTGGGACAGCAAAACCTTTAAAAGAAGGTACCTCTTAAGTTTAAAAGTTTATTTTGTGGGACAGCACAGGAGAACTTTGCTAGGTTAGTATGTTGGCTAATAAAACATTTTTCTGTCTAGAATAAGAAGACTCAATAAAGGTATTGCTCTGTTCTAATGGGATGTTATGGTATCACAACATCAATGTTTTTTTCTACCATCAGAGAACTAAGATATATTCTTTGTTCTTCACAGCTGTAGAGCCAAAGAGAGGTATATCCATCTGAGTAGTTCTTCATACAGTTTCATTTTAGATTACCTTATGTTTTACACAACATGCTTCCCATTCTGCTCTGTCTTTTGGAACCAAATTTCTCTATAAGTAAGATGGGGATCCAGTTGCTTAAACAGGGCAGTCTAGCATCATTTTGGTTACTCTAGGATATCTGAGGTATCCTCATAAAGTTGGCAGATGTACTGCAGGGCTTATAGGCGGCCTGTGCCCTTCTTTAATAGGAACTGAGTCTGTAATGCTTGCATGATGCTAGTCTGAAGTGTGATGTGTGCCAGCTTTTCTGAGCCTCTCACTAAACAAGAGGCACAGGGTGTTTGCTCAGAGAAGAAAAGAGGCAATGTATCTATGGTCTGTGACATCCTGTGAGAAGCTACAAAAAATCTCTGTATTGTAGATAAAGACTGCAGTATCACTTACAAGTTTTGGGAATGACTCATATTAATATCTGTATAATACCCACACTGGAATCGCTCTATTATTACTAAACAAATGTGCCTAGGACTCTCCTCTGGTCCTTAGGCCAGATGGGATGTGAAAATTCCTGTTCAAGCTACTGAAGCCTTTCATCTGCTACCAAAAGGTGCAACAGTTTGCAAAATATGCAAACTGTTCACTGACAGTGTGTGCAGGTATGTGCTATCTCCCCAGATGTGCCTATGAATGATTTGGCAGACTGCTGGCTGGAACAGTACAAAACTATTCCAAGGACCGTTCTAATAACTGACATGACTTACTTTAGCTCTCCAGAAATATTCCTTGCAATTGTATTGCTTTATGATGTAGATGTAGCCTTGAACTTCACCAGCCCATTTCTATGTTCAAGTTAATTAGAAAGTAATTCAGAAGGAAAGGGATCTCTGAAGTCCACATGGTCCAACGCCCCCTGCTCAGAGTCACCTCCAACATTGGAGCAGTGTGCTTTGGATCTTCTTCATCCAACTTCTGAAAATCTCTGAGGGTGGAGATTTCACAGTCTGTCTGGGTAACCTGTTCTAGGAATTGACAGCTCACCATGAACATTTTTGTTCTTGCATCCAAATAGATATGTGCCACTTCTGACTGTTATTCATTGTACTGATCCTTTGGGATGTCCCTCTTTAGGCAACTTATTCTTGCAAATTATTGATGGATTTTCAGTGTGCAGTCACAGGTATGATTTACTGCAGATTCATGTTATCCTTCATTAAATGATACAGATGATACAGAGGAATGGGCTGTGTGTTCATTCTCAGCCCTGCTCAGCAACAAGGTGAGACCCAACAGGCATAGCCACCACTGATGGGGAATAGCACAGTAATGAAGCAAAGCAAAGAGCTGGGGACTCCCCCAAACCCTTCTGCTTCCTTCCTGTGTTATAAAGCATGTGTGTGTGTATATATATATATATATATATATATATATATATATATATATATATATAAAACTTATAGCACTTTGCATTACATACCTTTGGCATTTTTTCATGGCTTCTCACGCACAGGGAAAGACATTTGCTAAGGTCTGGGAGAAAGCAGTCAGTCTGAAACAAATAACCTGACAAAGTAATGAAGCAGAGTGGATGTGGGTCTCCTTTCTTCATGCTACAGCCGTGCCAAGGAGAGCAGCCTCTGTACCTATCATTTTGTGTTCAGCTGACAAGTTGTGGCAGGTTATTCCAGCAAGCCTTGAATTCTGTTTTTCATTTTTTCTTTTTTTTTTCTTTTTTTTTTTTTTCTTTTCTCCCTATTCTCACTTTTAATTGTGTGTGCTTTAATGTCATCTAGCTACCAAATCAGGAGCCGAATACCTCACAGAGGGTGTCTTCCATTACTCTTGGTGAAAACATGCTATTTCTAGTTGTTATTTTCTTAACAAATGTTAGCGTGGTTTCAGTTATTATTTCCTTTAGAGGAAGTAGTTTCATACACATCAGGCTGTGTAATAAACTGGAATGCGTTGTTTTGAGCAAGCATGGACAGAGGATTTTAATCACTTATCCATTTAATTATGTTGGAAAACAGACTAACAAAGGAAATCTCAGCCCAGCCTTGTCACTTCAGCTCCTCTTATTCCTTCCACTTCATACTTGCCTTCCATCCCTGAGTTAGCAGCCCCACCAAGGCTCCATGAGCGGCAGGGGTAGGCCATGTTGAAGTGTTGGGTAAAGGGTCGTGTCTGCTGGATGTTGGCAGGGCCCAGGCTTGGGCTGGTGCTGATTTTATGGCTCCTGGTGGTGGCAGAGGGACCCTGAGGTGGCTGTGCCTGCTGGTGCTGCACCAGCCCCATGGCCCTGGGCAGAGACTGTAGTACCTGCAATGCCATTAGACCTGGTGTGGCTTGGAGTACTGCTTGCTATCTGTCTGCTGTCTTCTTTGATGTTCTCCATCCTCTGCCCTGGGTCACCTCACAAGCACACATAGTGCTGAGTCTCTTCCAAAGAAACAGCTGCATCCAGGAAAACAAAAAGGAATCAAAAGAAAAATTCCTACACAAAAAAACATGTGTTTGTGAAGTGCCCGCTTTCCTTGGCTGTCTTCATGATACATCACGCTTTCATTCCTGAAGTTTATCAGTTTATCTTTTAACATAAGCAGTGGTTTTTTTTTTGTTTTGTTTTGTTTTTCTTTTTTAATATGATTTAAAATATCTCTATGGAAATGATTTAAGTGATTTTTTTATCTATAGAGAAGGTTGAAGACTAGCTTTGTTGTTTACTTTTTTTTTTTTTTTTCACTATGCAGCAAAGCTTTATGTTACAAGATTAAATCATAGCGGAGATTATGATACCTCATTGCATTAGCCTTCATTATTCAGATTAAATAAAATACGTGACTAGGGATTGCTTTGTTTTCCACAAATTGATTTTCATTTATGTTGTGTACCCTCCAAATTGTCATATTTCAATACTTTGCTATTTAGATACAGTGAATAGTGTGATACTTCCTATGGGAGAATGAAGACGGAGGTGGGAAAGTAACAGTCATTTCAGAATATTTTGAGTTATTCAATGAAGTTATAATCACAGAGAAAACAAAATATAAGTTCTTTCCCATAATATTGTTTAATCCTCAAAATTTTATGGAATTCTGGGACAATCATGACGAATTAAGATATGAATATTATAATTTTATTATTGCTGTCATGGTACCATATCACAGACAAAGCAAAACATGGTTTTCAATGAAGAGGCACATGATCAGTTTAATATATGTGTTTTAAAACCTGTCAAAATGTCATAATTTCTTTTAAGTCACTAACGGTTTTTTTTCATAGCTTTCAGAATCATTATTGTAACTATAAATGTTTCTGAATAGATAGCATAGCAATTCCAAAAAGATACAATACAAGTGGAAAAGATTTAGAGAAGAGACAGAGATCTGTTCAAAATAAAGGAATGTCTTCCACCTAAAGAATGCCTTAGAAAACAAGGTCTTCCCAGCAAGCAAAATAGAAAACTGTTATATGATTTTCAGTGCCAAACATAGGAGCCCTCAAAACAGGGTAGGAGGAGCATTGTTCAAAATAAATCAGATGAGGTGTCTCTTTAGGCAACAGATAGTTATCCTGCAGAACAACTTGTCAAGGGATACTACCATTTTGAACAGTTTGCTTGTATCCAAAGGAAAATGATGATTAATAAATGAATAGCTATCATACACAACTGAAGAAATGCCTGGTCTGAATGAAGTTGGAGGCTGGTGGATTAGGAGAAATTATGATATGTTCTTGACCAGTTCCTACTCTCCTATAGGCACTTGTTACAACTACTGTAGAAGACGTTATATACAGTTAGGTAAGTCTTGGGTCTGTTCAGTACAGGCATTCTTCCCAGTTCTGGCTCTTGTGAATTGTTCATCCTCTATCTTCTCAGATGTCCTTGTATGGCAGTATGAATCAACGGGGCTACTTTGGACATGGTATCTCAAAATTATTGAATACATGGTTCCATTGTTTTCTGAGCATGATTGAAAATGACTGACTGTATTTTACCCCTGACTAAATTTTGTCTCACATGACTTTTGCCTCTGCTACTGATACATTTCTGAGACCTGAAATGAACTTTTGGGATGCTTTCTCCATGACAATGAAAGGAGCTTTATATTCAGGGCAGTGTTATGGTCAGAGGAAAGCTGTCCTGACATTATTTTTCCATAATTTCCTCTCCTCGTTGTTTTTAAAAATATTTTCTCCCAGCTCTCCCCTTATTCAGGCTCCTTGAGGTGGCTAAAGGTCTTTTAAATTATGTGTGAGAAGTCACCCCTCTTTATCCCATTCCACCCTGGTGTGTATTCCTTGACTTTATGAGGCTCTTCCCAGCTGCCTTGCAATACATTGCATACACTGTCACTGTATGCCTATGTGTTTGGTGTGAGATGAGTCAAAGATGCTGGGCAGTGCTGCCACTAACTATTGTATAGGCTTTAGATGGTATGAGTGATAAATGATAAGCCTTCTTTTTTCAGTGACCCCTAACACACCCAGGAGAGCAACAGGTCTAATATGAGCTCTATAAATGGCGGTGATTTTTCCACCTGTGGTCTGTGTATCCCTAGAGGTAAATGAAAAATTGCAGAAGAAGGTGTAAATTCACAGCAGGGGAAATAATGTCACTTTTAGAAAAAAAAAAAAAAAAGTATAGGGCTACACAGCTTCCAGACAGGTTGAAAATCTTTGAAATGGTCTGTCTGGAAGAGAGTTCCTCCAGCCCTGCCAAGCAGGCATTCTTCTAGGATTCTTTCACAGCAGTCCATCACCCTGTCGTAACTTCTGAACACTGCTTTGGGAGGAAATGTGAAAAGGACCAGAAAATACTGAAGGAAATGAGTGTAG